AATAATTTATAACATAATTAATATTATATATTAATTATAATATAGGATTACTGCTATATATAAAAATATTAGTTATTAGTGAGCTTTTTCCTTTTTAACATCCCAAATACTAGCCTGATATTATTAAGATAGCTGGTATTAATCATAGAAGAGATATTTTATTTGTGTTGCTTTTTCTTTCTTTTTCTAATCGTTGTTTGGTTTCAGACAATTCTTTTCCTAATTCAGTGACTTTGTTATTCTTATCTTCTTTACCTCACTCTTTAGCATAGCTCAGAATGGCTGCTAATCTTTCATTTTCCATAGAATCTATAGGTTTACCTTTTTTGTCCGAGCTTCCTCACTAGGAAGTCAAAATCTTTTTATTTCAATTGAGGAACTATATTTATTGCCAATTTCCCCTTGAACCTCCTTCCAAGTTTTCATAAAGCTCATCAAAGTCTTCTTCCTTCTAAATGTTTTTTTTTGCATAATCTTCCCAAGTCCAATAGGTCTGAAAATCAGGAGTTTTTTTCTCAAATTTTCAGTTGATTGCTTGAGCAACTTACCTAATTGAGTCCCAAATATCAGAGTCAATTGTTTCAATTTTACAAGAAAGATTTTTTGGTAGTAATAACAGTATAATAATAACCAATACTCTTTTTATTGCTTAGTTTAGCAATTAATTTGTCAGTTTCATCAACAATGTTATCTTGCTTAAGATCAAGAAGACTCTGAATTTTCTTTTCTTCTCCTGGAGTAGTTGGCTTGTAAGCCTTACATACCTTAATCTTTTTTATACTTTGGGACTAATTACATGTAGAAATGAGGTAAATTGGTTTTGGCCCACTAATTCAATAGCCTAAGGGGCCAGGTTTATTGGCAATAGTTTTTAGTTTTGGAAATGCTTTCTTTTAAGACCAGGAAAATATCAGCGATTTAAGTCTCTTAAACCTTCCACATGACATTTGGTAAATATCACAGTATGAAATTTGGCATTGGGTCTCTAATTAAGGACAGAATATATAGTTCCATGATTGGAAACTCAACTCTTAAGGTGGTCTTTTCCCAGAGAAAACACTCTTTTAGACAGGTTATGCATTTTTTGGTCATAATATTTTATTTTATGACTACAACAAATTTTTTGAATAACCATAAAACTGATCATTATTCAGTAAAACTTTGCACAAGTAATGTCATTAAAATAAATTTGCCTCTCACAAATGCACAAATGTTTTTTCCTGCTTTTTGTAATCCAAAGATTTAATTTCTTTGGTAATTTCATAAATTTTTGCTTTTTTTAGCACCCTCAGCAACCATTTGAGCTTTGATAATTGTAGGATTAATAACAAAATGCTGATTATGATATCTTTGTAAACCACTCAATTTCTTAAAGAAATTTTCAACACAGAATTGAGATCTAAATACTGAAAGGCTTTTCCGTTGTCATAACACTAAGCCTTATCTAATCCGGTTGTACTCGATTTTTTCATAACTTCAATAATATTGTTCACACAATTTACCGTTGTTTTGCGATATAGTTTCTTAACAATCCAAAAACTGCCATCACACTTGAATATAGTACTGCATGTCTAGGTAATTCGATACTTTCGTAATAACCGCAAATTATCAAATACAGATAAAATTAAATAATGGCATTATTTTATTCTGACCACCGACGTTATCGCAAGTAATTTTCAGTTGTTATTCAATCTCTTAATTCCATCGAACACCATACTCAGGGTACCATAAGACCTTTGCCGATAATCTCGTCTTCATCGAGAACATAATTAATTTGTTTGCGCACTGCTTCATTTTGAATATCAAATGATACACTTACGTAGACTGAGTTGATAAATTTTACTTACCAATTGATCGGAATAGAGTACGTGAACTTTTTGTGCCCAGTCGTAACTGTAATGCACAGTAGCGTCAATGCTATAATAATCAACTTTACCTCCCATCGTAAGATAATTCTCGTCTACCAATTTTCTCTGTTGTTCTGCTAATTTCGTATTACTGTTGTAATAATTTCAGCTTTAACTAGAATTTTTTAATAAATTTTCCTTACGAGCATTATACTGCAACCTGTTCCGAAAATGTTGACACGTGTCGCATAAATCGGTTCTTGGACTCCTAAGAATATTAGGGGTCATAACTTGCGAAATACATCATATTTTAACAATTTCAACGTGCTATCGTTTTCGAGACCTGCAATAAAATTACGATAAACCGATTTATAATTGTTTCGGCTGGCAATAGTGTAAGAGATTGAGTAATGACGATTAACATTCCTACCAGGACTTGGTAATCCATGAATTGCAGCATAGTTTCCGAGAAATTCTTCACAGCAGTAGCAACGGTCATATCAATGGTTGGTTTGGTTTTCCATCACGGCACATTTTTCACATTACCATGAACGCGCGGTATTATATCATTCGTCACCAAGTTCTGACGTTTTCGAAGTGAGTGCGGCCAATCCTAACATATCGAGATATGTCTTTGGCAAAGAGGCGCAATAGTAAAAGGTTCTTTTATTCGCACGCGTTTTTCTTAAAGACGTCGACTGGCTGTTATTTTTCCACCATTCATTGCTTTCAGTTGGGCCATTAAAAATATATCTTGTTCAGGTCTAGAGAGAGCTTGAAATGCTTTACGTAATTCGGTAAACCTTTCTCTCGGAATCGTTTTTGAACAGCTAAATTGCAATCTAGTTCCAAGAAACGCATTGCTTTTTCAAATTCAGTCGAACCATTATAATTATAATTTTCCATATACGGGTAATCCTATATATAATTTTAATCTATATACGCTTTTTCAAAGAGCAAGTTCGGAACTAACCAACTCTGATCAACAATTTCGTATTACCCGTGAGCATCATCTGGACATTTCTTCAATCGAACGGTTACAGTATATTATTTAATCTAGCAGTTTGCAATGTAATTGGCAATATTTATTTATGTTTCGCAATGATGCAACTATGTCTCATACGGGTCCGTTTACGTCATTCCGTTGTAAAGATACTTTTTTTATCTGGTTATCTTTGAAATATTGAGTTAATCATTCAATAATTTTCTTTTCCTCTTTGCTTGCACTAGCAACATTCCGGTTCGACCTCGGAGGTCACTTTTTAAAGTACAGTATAATTGTACTAGAGCGCACCACCGAAGGCTGGGTTTTGTAAAATCTTCCTCAATTTCGCATCACAACACACGACCGAAAGTCACGATATTTACTCAAAACGATTAACATCGGAATGTATTCTAATTCAATCTTGCGTCCAGCGTATTACATAAAGTATAAAATTCATATTTTTGGGAATACTAAATACTACACGTCCGATTGTCCTTCACTCACGTCTGCTCGAGCTACTCCACTCCAAAGTGGAGTTACGTATTACGCCCCCGCCACACAGCACCACCCTAAATTATTCATCACATCAAAAACGTCTCTCATTGATGCAACGTCATCTTCGGTCCAAGGGATCAATCTTAGGTCTGTTTAAAACATGCTCTATTTCCTATATTTCGGAACTATTTGGCTCTGCACATCGCTTTGTGAATGGAAAAGTCAGACTGAGATGCAGCATTGACAGTAGTAGTTGTGCCAAGTTCCACTTGAGTAGAGTCTTTGCTTCCATAATGGAGAACATACAGTCCACAATCATGCCTTTTTCCAACCAAAAAAATTGCCAGTGTTTTGCCAGGTCAGTAAGGACTATTGTTACTGGATATTCTGAATATATGTTTGCTGCCACAAGCTCCATCACAGCTTGTATAGAGTGCATGCTAGCCTCAACTTATTATTATTTTTAACTTCAATGCTAATCCTTGGCCCACCAGTGATGTTTCCACATATAATGTCTATGATAGCTGCATCTACAGTTCCAGAGATATTGAACAGTGAGGCATGCTAAGAAGGCCAGGTGTTGCTGATGCATTGTAGTATTCACAGTCTTCTGGTAGGGCAATGTTGTTTCAAAGCCATTTTATGTAATTATTTGCTTTGTGTCCACTTGAGAGATTTCACTTTTGATGCCTTCTCTTCATAGCAAAGTTAATTGTCTTTCTCTCAAGGCCAAGGAAATCGACTAGTCTTTGACAATCTTTGCATGAAGCCCTCAAGATTGAGGTTATGGATCTTTCATGTTCATGAAGGGCTAAAGGGATGTTAATCTGAGCTGAAGAAATGATAACAGTGCTTGATATAAGACTGCCATAATATACCTTTCTTGACAGCTGTGTTTATAATCTCCTTCATCTCTTCATAGCTCTGTTCCTGGCCTATGGATGAATACAAAAGTTGGTCTTTAGCTGATTCTGTTTAAAAAGGTATTGGAATAACAATATGATTAAATTCGTTACTTATTACTACACAGTAACCTTCTCCCATAAAACAGTATTACAATCATATTGCTACTATAAGTGGAATAACTTTGCTCTTACTCTATGCTCCTCACTATGTCTACTCTATGTCCCCAATGCCCGAGTCACAAAGTGGTTACCTGGTTGAGTAGTAGCTGTTAAGAGTGCCTCTTGGCACCTTCTAACATCATCTCCACACTTTGTAACCTCGCCTCCAGGATCTTCTGCCCATCCTCCAGCTGAATCTTCTCCTTCTCCCACCTCTGTTGTTGTGCTGCAGCGATTTCCTTATCTCTAAACCTTTATTCAGCGGTTTGCCCCAAAAGTGCGTCCCTTATTCTGCCGCGTATGTCCTCGGGGGAAAGATTGATTAACAAGATTGAACAAAGATTGCTGCGCGCAATGTTATCTAAGCTGATCAGTGGCTCAATCAATGACGTGGCGTTCTAAATCTTTTCACTATCGTAACTATTGTTTCCGTGTACGCGGAGATAATCAATACGCAAGAATTCATGTTTTATTCATCAATAAACGAATTGCATGCGGTAAAACGAACATAATTTTTGAGTAATTACACTAAACACAATAAATATTGTAAAGATTAAAACTTGAGCCTAAATAGTAAGCGCAATCCTTTCGTTAGTTTCTCGCAATACTTTTACTTCCGGTAATTCTTTGCGATCGTTATGTATATGGACATCTAAGTGGCTAGATATCGCGTTATAATCTGGACACTTCCCGATAAACGAGGAAAATTAGACGTTTTAGTGGACTAGTTGAAGATTGTTTGACGTGTTCATTTTTATCTATTTTTTTTTTCCTGGCACAGTGATAAAACGTTTCTCTTATCAAGCGTAAGAGCGTTGATGTTGTGCCCCATTCTGAGATTTGACCTATTTCGGGATTATCACATTAGAATAATCTCTTGCCCAATAAGCTGCATAATTTGATAACATCGAAAAAATATGTGACAAGCTTGACCCATTCCCCAGAATGGATGTCAACATTCCGACAGTATAAACTTAAAACTTTAATTATAATTTACATTACATAATTTGCACTTGTGATTAGTCAAATTAGTTAACGTTTAGCTACACTAGCCTCTTATTATAACATGTCCACTTTGTCTGGTTTACCCCACATGTGTACAATAACGCTCACAAAATTTTTGAAATTAGGGAACATGCCAGGATTTAAATACTAAAAATGTCATATAGAAAATATGCAACCGAATTATACTCCTAAAAAAAGTTTTACGCTTGAAGAACAATTTTAAGATTGCGAATTAACTTATGTATGCAGATGCACGTTTATAAAATTGGACTACTATTTTATTACGGGAAACTTGTCGCAACACTGGAGATACGCTAAATACGTAGGTATCCCGGCATCGCGCAGTTTGTAGCTTTAGAATTAGTATAACAAGTTACTCATGTCGGATTTGGAGTGTTGTAATATATATACAAATTACAACATAAATCTTGAGGCAAACAATAGAAATGTGCAGCAAAGGTCAAATCCATGCCTCAATAATAGTAGCACCCGGAGTATAAACAAGATTTGAATTAGGATTTAGGGGGTTGATTTAAAGAGGAAACTCGTGTCACTTACGAATTTGACTCGTAATATTGTGCCTTAGATATTACTAGGCTCCGGGATAAGCTTTTATTCAGCCATATTAACCTCAGGACAGATATTCAACCGGAAAAACTCTTTTTGCAATTATTGATTAGTCCTCTCTCTAATCGATCCTCCTGTAAAGATCATTGATCGTACCAATCAAAAATGTCTTTTATTATTAGCAAATACAAGTTAATCCACCCGATTAAAGTTAAGATTTGTGAATCCCGATGACAATAATAATAACAACACCGATAGGGTAATGAAATCAGACAGTATTTAAAGTTAAGATATTTACTATTACAAAGAGAAAAAGCGATTTATGTTAATAATGTTACATTTAGTTGAAAAAGATTTTTAGTAATAAGTATTACAAAAGATCAGGAATAAGGTGATGCTCAAGATGCTCAGATTCGAAACTGAGCGTCGAATCGTCCACCTAATAATAATTTATTCACGTCTATTTTACTGACAATTAATAACGCAATCAAAATAGTTGCTACGATTCTGCCTCGCTCAAATCTAACAATACAAATAAAAATTATATTATTACAAGAAAACTTGGTTTAAATACCTCGTTTTACTCACATCTTTTTATAAAGTGCCAGCCCGAAACGATAAATACGTAAGTTTTTAAACAGTGTTTACCACGAAACCCGAAGAATTATTTGAAAAATGCCGCTCGTTAGCCGCACGCTCATCCTTTGGCGGTGTCTGAGGGGGGACCTGTGCGGGAAAAGGGCGTGTAATATCTTCATTTTTATTTCCAGAGAAACCCTGGTTCGCACTATTAAACTTCTCACCGAATTCAATCTTGGGTCGAACGGGTACTTGAATCTCCACAAATTTTAACATTTCTCCTTCACTCTCCTCATCATCTTTGACACTTTGCAATTTTTTCAATCTTAGCTCGTGCAACTGCTGTGCTGTTACTACATTCGACTGACCGTCATCTTCATCATCAACATTGCCAACGGCGTTCTCATCAATCCTGCTCGAATCCATCTTATATGGTTCCGGAATTGTACCTCTACGTTCATTAAACGTTTTCCGCTTCATCAACCTCATCAATTGAAAGCGCAACAGGGCACCGCATCCCCAAATGGCAGCATTAAGGAACGCAAAGGTTTCAATAACATGACCGAGGCTCGCCGCTTTCTCAAGAAAGTGAAAATATGGCTGCTGGTCCGGGTACAGGTAGTCAGAATAAGGCTTAACCAGTCGAATAGCGAAAAATTCGTCGGTCATTCCTGCACCGGTTGCTATTATTATTGCGGTAACTAGCCAAAGACCAGAAAGAACCGCTTCCATTATGACGAAATACAGGTTGAGTCTAAAACGGTTGATGACGTCCGGTATTAATAGAGGGAGGCCTACTATGACCGATATGCCAGTCACTATGAGCGCAATGTATACGTCCGCTGGGTATCCATGAATGCTTACCGAGTAGCCTTTGAAGTTTGTATATTCAACAATAAAGTCTGACAGAAATTTCTCAGTGTCCGATATCCAGCTACCAAGTAATGCAGCAATTATTATTATAAACACAAAGGCAACGACTTGAATCCCCAGCAATATCATGGACAGCAAGCGTAACGATAACATGTTGGAAAGTTGGGGAAGAAATTAGATGTTGTGAAAGGGGAGGAGTGGAGTGGCGTTATGTTAGAATGGTATGTTAGTATATTGTGGACAAGTGCAATGTAAAGGAAGGAAAGGAAGGAAGGACGGGTGGTTGTGCGTTCGGGGATGAGACCGCATTCCAGGAAAAAGGGCGACTTCTAAAGCAGAAAATGTAACATCGTGTAAACCATGTGAGGCATAATTTTGGAAAATGCCCTGAAAATTTAAGAAACGCCATCGATTTCTCCTTTTATGGTAAGCAATCGTAAATTCCATACATATATTATTTTACATTTATGGCACATCAAACAACCATAGTAAGTGAATTTCGGGTTACTGCTTTGTTTTCAATTATGTCATTTCAAGCCCGCCCAACATGAGACTTGGCCCAAGCGACGCTAGTGGAATATTCTTTTGATTAATATTTTAGACCAATGAGATCAGAAAATGCAAATCGAAGTGAGTTGTCGAATAATATGTCTTCCTTAGTTAGCGTAGTATTTACCAAAAACCACACCTTGTAGACGGTGGCCTAGCCTCTCGATCGTTAGAGCCTATAATTATGGGGCATTATTATTATATTTCATCACCATGTCTCATGTATGCGGGCAACTCGTATATTAGATGTATAGAAGTTTCACAAACTTATTACGACTATCCTAAATTTGGCGTTAGATTTATTTATAAGCCCCAAATGCTTCAAATAAATTCTGCCCGGAATAATTCCAACAGGTTTATTATGTTAATTTAATGCATATGTTCTGCTAAATTAACTGCGGTAACCTTCCACTATTAAACATTCTTCTATCTACGTTAGTCTTAACAATATTAATATTACCAGAGATGTTAAAGTCTGTACTGTTGGATGTCCAGTCCACTTAAAGTTTTTCAGAATTGATCATTGGCCGGCCTTACATCTTCACACCTTTGCAAAACAACAAGAGCTTTTTATTAGAGAATAAAATTCGTCATCCAGTCATCGTTTTGGTTCCCATTCTACGCGCATTTTCTTGTAATCGTCAGTTAGTATTGATGTTGCCAACGGTCCGCTTTGTTATAAAGTTCATGTTTTTATTGGGTATTTAATATAAAGACTTATTCCATTTCTTGACAGTTGGATAATAAAGGTCATGTGGGAAATGGTAGAACAAACTTTGCTATAATCTTTCTGGGGATAACCATTAACGTTTTACGGGAGCTGTTCATTGCTGTTATAATAGAGGTATTCTTGTTATTTTGTACAGCTGTCTACCATCATGCTCCCACAATAGTAATATAAGCTTTCGTTCCAATATTACTGACAGTAATAAAAAACCGTGTTTCACACGAATTAACGACATGTAGACTACACACGGACACAACAGAACACAGATTATTAGCTCAAGAGAATAGTCATTTCTGGACACGTTTCCATAACCACGCACACACGGGTTCTTACACGCGAGGTTTTACACGCGGAAACCTTAACAACTCTCAGCCTGTACATGTCCCGGTCACTTAAATAGAACAATAATTATAAAATTTTATTGGTCATTTGAGTTTGCAATAATAATGTCCACTAGCATTGGCTGATCTCAGCTAGTCTAGTTTTTTCAGTTGCTCTATGAAACGTTCTGATCGTGATGATAATCTTGCAATTTTCGAGGTTCTTAATGTTAAGAAGAACCGTCAAAGTCTTGCTAGAGCTCAAAGGTACATTCTTGGACACCATCGTGTGAATATCTCGTAGAACATACGATAAATATGTCAACCAATAATAGATTACAACTCATCCTAGTAATTTATTATTATCGCTATGTTTACTTTCTCTGTAGCACCGCCCATATCAATTGATAATAATAACTCGGCCAATAATAATTGAATCGTAAAATTTCGACCCCTGAAATTGTTCACTTGCACAAAAGTCTTTTTTCATTCCAAACTGTGGGGGATGACGAATTCGACTCCATCGGATCCAATACCTCAGCCAAATGCCTCGGAACATTCACCATCAGAATCAGCAGCACTCATCCTCAAAGTAGCAGCCGCCGTGTTTTTAACAGGATTTACGGGGACCGTATATTCTACGTATGAGCGAAGTAATGCATTCTCGAGTTACGAATCTCCGTATTTGCGATTATCTGATGATTATTATTCCGAGTGTTTGACATTGTTTTCTTTTTCAGCAAAAAAAGAACTATCAAAGAATGAATCATCGTTAGGGACAAGAATCAGGCCAATGTCATACAAACAGGCTTCCCTGTTCTCGTTTAAAGCATTCCTCCTTGGGACTACGCTGTGTCTGTCAGGGTCCGGTATACTAGTGCTTGGGATTAGTTCGGCTTTAGGGGTCTCTAGTGTAAGTGAATGTGACAGAATGTTGCGTATCAGTAGGGGGTATTCGACTTTTCATAAAACTGAACCATTTAATCGTGTTATAGTTTCACGAATTCAATCAAAAGATGCGTCGGATGATATCATATCACACACCATCATTACAAGAAAGACTTGCGACCGCTGATACTCAAGATGACATCAAGGGCTTTGTTGATTTTGCTAACGAATGGGAGAAAATGAAAAAAGAGGCTGCGGATCAGCGCCGACAAAGGGAGGAAGAGCGGGAGAGAAAACGAAGGGAGGGAAAATGGTGGTGGGAAGACTAGAAAAACAATAGACCATGTTAATATATACCGGGTTTAGATCTTCGTAGATATAATATACAAGTTCATATGGAAGTTGATGAGTACACCTTACCGCGAAATACGGATGGCGCCGCATACTCTAATAGAGGATTCCAAATTCAGTTTCATTATCAATTATGATAAATGCAGGCTAACCACAAAAGTCCTCTTGTAGATAAGCAAATACCACTGAGGAATTATTATTGTCAAATCACAGTTTGAGCCCTGTGGAAATGATCAGCGAAACACAAAACCGTGGGGGTGAGAACGTTCTGTCGCAGAAACAATATTAATTAATAGAGGGTTTAGCATCGCGGGTTGTATAACAAGGGGGAGGACTAAGGTTTCGCTTAAAATCGCCAATTTCGACATTGATTTGCTTACTAGCAACTACGTTATTATTATGTGAGAATGTTGTACAACATGAACCGGGATCACAGCAATAACAAGATGCATACAAACCTTGCTCTTACTCTCCGACCGCTATATTTTGTTATTTACAACTCACCCACATTTTAAACCACGCCCATAATCGTTTCCGATAATAGTCGAACAAGCTACCCAACCTTGTATGTAACAATCGTACAAACATCACGCGGATCACAAACAATTGAATCGTTAATGCAATAGACAATGTTCAATATCTCCAACTTATAAATACCCTGCATCCATTACGTCTCTCCTGATTAAAGCTTTCTCTCTCTGTTTTTTGCAATATCCGATTCAGATAAACCCAAATGGGCAATTCAAATTCTCGCTTCCATTTCCCATCAAAGTCTTCCCGTCGTAAGAAAAGACTCCAGCTCTCTCGCACAGCAAGTCTCACAACTTTAGCAGAGACTATTCAGCCGACTAGACAGCAACCAGAGAATACTAGGGTAAAGCTGAACTACTACTATTACGGTAACGAATGGGAAAAGGTATGCGAGAATGAAGCGGAAAATGGTGAGGCCGGTAGTGAACTAGAGTTGACTGAATTGGACAAGTACTCGTAAGTATTCAGACGTAATATGCGGAACACTCCCCGCTATCGTACGCGAACGAGAAAACACCAAGCGGAAACTAATCATTACCCCGACTGCTTTTTCATCGTTATACCACGTGTTCATTGTTATCATGTGATTCTTTGAAACAGTGAAACCTTTAGAGCAGATTCAAAGAATAAACTGGTGCTGAATGCAATCGCCGAGAATGACATAACCAAAGTCCTCTTACGAAGAGACGTGAGTATACAACGTGATTTTATCGAGGTCTATAATAGGGACTATATTTAATTGCTCCGATCTTTTGTTCAGATAAGAATTGCCGATTTGCACACGTTTAGCGAAAAGCTCGAAATAGAGGGGAAAGCCACGGATCAAAAGGCATCAGGGAGATGTTGGTTATTTGCTGCTACGAACGTGTTACGGTTGCATGTTATAAAAAAGTGCGTAGGCATAAAGTTTCGGATTATCAAGTCGGCGCGCGATTTTTACCAGTGTGTCCCAACAGAAATTTATTTGACATTCATGTTGCGCGTTTTTCTATTTCAGATATAATCTCGAGGATTTCGAATTATCACAACCGTATTTGTATTTCTACGACAAGCTGGAGAAATCAAACTGTAAGCAACAAATAAATTTAACGTTAGTTTATTACCATCGTTCTCATACACCCGACATCTCACGCCCCTTGTTTATCGTCGACTCTAGGGTTTCTCGAGAACATGATTTCACTCGTCGATGAACCGGTCGAATCTCGTCTACTCCAATACCTCCTCTCTGATCCGATTTCCGACGGCGGACAATGGGACATGGTACTCAATTTGGTTGGCAAATATGGCGTAGTTCCGAAAAGCGCTTTCCCGGAAACTTATCAATCCTCAAACTCGTCCCGTTTGAACTCGATTCTCACGGCAAAATTAAGGGAATATGCCCTGGAAATAAGAGAATTACACAAGCTTGGAAAGGGTGTCGACCCGATGAGGCAGACAAAGAAAAAGATGATGGAAGAAATTTATAGAATTGTTGCAATTGCGCTGGGTGAGCCGCCAAAGGTGTTTGACTGGTGCTTCAGAGACAAAAAGGGCAAGTTTTGGGAATATACCAACTTGACGCCCGAAAGGTTCTTTAATGAATTCGTTGGATATAAGGTAAGATTAGTAATGCCGCGTAAGAACGTGGATTATGGTGTTCACAGTGGAAGAGGAATGGGCCCGATTTAGTTTTACGATATCTATCTTTGGGCTGACTGCTCACATTATTTTCTCTCTCTAGGCATCCGAAACGTTTTCTTTGACAAACGATCCTCGTAATCCCTACTACCGCCTATACACAGTAGCCTATCTCGGTAATGTCACGGGTGGACTTCCAATCCGCTATGTCAACATACCTTCTTCCAAAATGCAATCCATAGCCATCTCAGTCTTACGTTCCAAGAAACCCGTTTGGTTCGGAGCCGATGTTGGAAAATTCTCCAACTCTCTCCTCGGAATTCTCGACAACGATATCTATGACTATTCTCTCGGATTTAATATTAGCTTCAACATGAGCAAGGGTGATAGATTGCAATACGCCGAGTCAGCAATGACTCACGCAATGGTGTTCACCGGTGTACATTTGGAAGATGGGAAACCTGTTAGATGGAGAGTGGAAAATTCATGGGGTCAAGATAGAGGGGACAAAGGATACTTTGTTATGTCGAACGATTGGTTCCAGGAATGGGTTTATCAGATTGTGGTTGAGAAGGGTGATGTGGAAAAAGAGATATCGGACATATTAAATCAGGAACCTGTAGTATTGCCCGCATGGGATCCGTTGGGATCATTAGCTATGAAGTAAAGCTTAGAGGCGAGTTAGGTGAAAAGGCGTTAGACTTAGATTTATGAAGTTAAATTAAGCCTTGTGTATACTTTTTGAATAAATAATTTTTTGGAGCATGTCTTTTCTTTTTTTGAATAAATTTTGGTTTGGCGTTTGTTTGTTTTTTTTACGCATCGGAAAAAATACCGACATATCTAAAATTTTACATGAATATTTTTCGCGTATTTCGATTTCAAATTGATTGACGATGTAGCATTTCATTCATATCCTTCTCACCAAGTTTTATTTCATCAAATTCGTTGTACTAACTCTGAATTTATCAGAGCATTATTTAGAATTGATAGAATTTACGATTATTATTATGCTTAATTGAATTTGAAACCATATCTTTTTGTGCCTGATTCATCTCTCTTTTTATCATCCGTCAGTTCATTAAACAAAAGTATACCAACTGAGAGATCATCCAATATGTTACATTATGGAAAAACGTATCATAAGAGGACAGCAAATATACTCTGATTAGTAACTACAAAAGATAGACGTAATTCTCATCCCCACAAGCAGGTAGAATTTGAAATTCTTTGCTGTAGCGCCTTTCATATATTTATTTGATTTTATATTTAGTATTAGGCAATTACGTTACTGTATAGTAATAGGGCAACCGCTATTAGCAATGAATATCTAATGATCCATAATCAGTAACAAGCTTCTTTTGATATGAATGAATCATCTGTCCTCGACAATTTCAGAAATCTTGGGTACTTATTTTATTCTGTAATAAAAAATGTACACTATGTTTCCTACATACCTAAGCAGCAAAAACGTAATATCGTATTCAATTATGAAGTAAACTCGGTGCATTGTTGGGTTCCTGTTCCCACTTTGCACCTATATAGTATAATAATAACCGTTATAAAAACCGGAAAGCGCGAATAAACCCGTGAATTATGTGTCTATTCAAGAAGCGTTTGAGTCACTAAATTACAAATAGTAGACAATGTTAATACTGCAAATTGACTTTATTAATAACCAATTACTGTCGTCATACCTGCAGCTGAATCCAATTCATAACTATTTCTCGGTTTAGGCAAGGCTCCGGTCGGTAAGAGTTTACTAGAGTATTTACTCTCCTTCTCGAGACGTGATAACGGCTTTACATTATTATGATAAACGGCATTCCACGCGTTGTCACCAGATTTATCCTTTCCCACATCTTCAACAAGACTGTTAATATCATTGTAAAGTTTCGATGCAGTAGGACGCTTATCAGGATCAGCATCACAACACCGCTCGGCAAGTTTCTTGTATTCCTCTGG